ATGTCTTGATTCCCTTGTATAACGCCTGCGTATATGCCTGTCGCCCATCGGATTGCTGGGTGCAATTTCCAGGCATAGCTCCATAGGCATCAATGGCTTTGGCAGCTTCCATGGTAGAAGGGGCCGAACCAAGTTCCGCGAATAAAGCTTGCTCAGCGTTTTCATCCTTAACATTGTTCCCCTGAAAAACTGTCCTTCCTTTAAACTTGCGAAGAGGATTTCCCTGTTGAAGTTCACTCCCTTTCTCAAGGCAGAATTTTGCCAACGTGGACCTTCTCACTTCTCCCCTTGGCTTCCTTGACCACTTGCGACCACTCACGTACAGTGTTGTAGTCCCATGCGCCCTTACTTTCAAGGTTGTGCCACTCCACGTCAATCGACTTTTGGGCATCAGCATTGCTTTCAATCTCCTTCGGTGCAATAGGCATAAGAGGAATGTTCGAAAATTCATCCTCCAACCCATTATTAACTGCGGTGGTCGCCGGCCTAGCCTTGGAGGAGGAAGCTTCCGGGTGCTCGGAGACGGGCTCATCGGGGAAAGCCTTGCGAGCCTTCTCCCGTTCCTCCTTGATGATGGCCAGTCTCCTTTGCTTCATTGACATTGTCTTCCAAAGAAAAGGGGGAATACTGTCGGGTTTGCTTGACCCCGAGTACCTCCGAGCTTTCACACCCCCCGCATCGTAATGAGCACCTCCATCTTTAGGAACAAGGGTGTCCTTGCTGGTCTTCAAATCGATAACCTTGACCATGTCTTCCGATGCGGGTCCCTTTTCGGGGGAAACTTTGATCAGCTTTCCGAGGTTTTCGGCGAGTTCCTGATCATCAATGATGTCATCCTGACCTGGCATCTCTGCCGGCAAATCCTCCTCCAAGAGCGGCGCATCTAATGCAGCTGGATCAGGCGTCTCAGGAGCGTATTCAAGCCCTGGCATTACGCCATTCATGTACAGTAAATGCCGTTCGACGAGCGAGTGCACTTGCACGGGTGTTCTGACCATTTGGCTGGATACAGTGCTGAGCGAGTGCACTTGAACGGGTGTTCTTACCATTTGGCTGGCATGGATACAGTGCTGAGCGAGTGCACTTGAACGGGTGTTCTTACCATTCGGCCGGCATGGATACAGTGCTGAGCAAGTGCACTTGAACGGGTGTTCTTACCATTTGGCTGGCATGAGCAGCACATGACTTCATGCTTTGTCAGCCAAACTTGTTTGGCTAGCATCTAAATTTAAGTGATAAATCTCCAGGCAAAGCACGCAAGGGTCTTGTTCGAACGGCAGGTAGACCTTGACGCCCCCATCCATCCTGCGTTTGTGATGTCATCATTGAGGTTAATGACTAAATTATCTATAAACGAAAACACAGAACAAGCCACTCAACAGCTGGGCTTGGAAAAGGATCCAGCTTGGAGAGGTGAAAGGTGCGGCAAGCAAGCCTCACACAACACTAAGTGGCCGCCTAAAATGATAATGTTAGCACAGCTGAAATCCATCGTTAGCTCATTATCCTCCCTGCTTTAAGGCCTGGGCCCCCACAGCTTCGAGTTGGTGTCAGCCTCTCTCAGATCTGCAGAGCACTGCTGATCCATCAAGCCGCTGAAGAAGTACACAGCGTCCTCCGCCGCATCCCTGCCCCCACGCCCGTCGATCACCTCCATCACCACCGTGCCCGGCATAGCATCTGGGCTCTCTGGCATAATCATCGGGCGCGGGCCAACGGAAGCAGGCAACCACATCAATGAGAGCGGCTGCCAACAAAAATCTGACAATTGCCAATTGAACCACCTAGAGTCTGAGCCAGCTGTCAATTGCTATCAAGCTTTCAAGTGAGCAGGGCAAGTGCAACGAGCACACACTGAGACGTGTCAGGCAAGCTCAAACATGGCAGCTTGACAAAACCCAAGCCTCCCTGCCTGCACTTGTCAGCTGCCACTGTCAATGGCAAACCCAAGTGTCTCTGCACTTGAAGCCAACTGTCAATTAGCAACTCTTGCTGTCTCAAGTGTCACATGTTAATGTTGTTCAACACTCCAGCTGATAATGGCAAGGCGTGATCGCGCATTGAGCCGGAGCGGCGCGAGAATTGGATGGCTGCACGCCATTGTCAATTGTTGCGCAGGCCAAAACAATGCAAAGCATGCAAACAGTTTACATGATGATTCTGGCACTTCCATTACTATTAGTGTAAGTAGAATCACACACTCCCAGATCTATACCTCTTATCGGGTTTGATGACTATCTATTTATCTATTGATCTATCTCTCTAACTATCTACTCTCTATTTTGTCCATCTATCTATCTATCTATCTATCTATCTGTACCTAAACTTGCGAAAGTTCTGCGCCTGCCACGAAATCTGCACTCGACCTTGCGAAAGTGCTCCCTACCACGAAATATGTACTTGACCTTGCAAAAGTGTTGCGCCTGCCACAAATTCTGTACTTGACCTTGCAAAAGTGCAACATTTGCGGCGAAATCTGTACCTCAACTTGAAAGTGTTGCGCCTGCCATGAAATCTGTACCTCAACTTGCGAAAATGCTGCGCCTGCCATGAAATCTGTACTTGACCTTGCGAAAGTTCTGCGCCTGCCACGAATTCTGCACTTGACCTTGCGAATGCTGCGCCTGCCACGAAATCTGTACTTGACCTTGCGAAAGTGCTGCGCCTGCCACGAAATCTGCACTCTACTTGCGAGAGTACCGCGCCTACCCACGCAAATCAATCCTTGCGAAACCTTCGCGCAGCCGTGCCAATGGCCCCAATCCGAGCCCGTCCGAACGTGGTCCGACCAGGCGCCGCGAACAGGCTAGCTTTCAGTTAGTTGCCGTAACACGGAAGTTCCTTTTAAACTTCCTTTGATTATATCATTTGATGATTTAGAACGAGCAAAACAATCAGTATTAAGTAATTGTATGCGTAAATGTTTTTAATGTACATTTCTGTAAGGAATGTGCTAAAACAACGCTGAGACTACAGGTGACATGCAATGCATTACCTTTAGATATTCTCAAAAACATATGAATCAATTACAGCTGTCAAACATGTGAAGAGATGGTAATGATTGTAAACCATAGACCACGATATGAAAATGATAATGACAATTTTGATTTACGTAGTATTAAACTGGCATATTGCTTTTTGCTTTGAAGGGTGATGGCACTTTGCCGACACTGAAGAGTTAAGACGAATACCAAAACTAAAGAATTTGAGCAACAGCCATCACCAACTTTTTGGAGCATTAAACAAGAGAAACAATGGAACCATTGGAAAAGAAACACTGTAAATTACTTGTGGGGTAGGAGTGGAGAAAACATTGAACACGCCTATGATGGGTTAACACGCCTATGATGGGTTAACACGCCTATGATGGGTTCACGCCTTGCTTAATAAAAATATTCAAGTTCTACAGGAGAAAGTTTAGGAATGGAAGCAGCAAATAAGTTAAAAGAAGTGCTATTCAATGAAGCAAGTGGTACTGAAAGTGAAATAGATGAATGAATAGAAACAGTTCAAGAAATGGATGACTTTCTTTATACACCTTAATTTCTGACAATGCAAAACAGTGTAAGATTTATGCTTCAACACTACATAATTTACATGTTCATGTTTAAATCTTTGAAAGTGACTTAAAGACATAAGGGCTTGATATATTAGTGAGAACATGGACGGTATTGAAGTCAACAAGTATATTAATAGGAAATGCTATGATTGCTGCCACTTCAAAACCATATGGAACTATTTGAAATTACCTAATGGAATAGTTAATAATCTTATTGGTTGTGCTTTGGGTAAAGAAGATGGATGTAAAGATTGTCAGGAATGGAGAGATAATCAAGAATTCATCCAGTGTCAGTTGAATATTAAAAGGTTGTGTGAAACAAAGGTAGAAGATTGCATGATAATACTTCTAACTGTGCATGAAAGACCACCTTTTGGTTATGTTGAACAGTTTTCTAAAACCAGTGATAAAAGTATGAAATGATTGGCTGCATATTATGGTCCTGACTTATGACTTTATAACAAAATAACAGACAGAATTGTAAAATAATATGGCAAGTCAAACATTGAAATAACAAGATTAACGTTAAAAATACAGTGAGGGATCGTGATATAGTATTGAAAATCATGTTGGAAGGGGTAAGGAATATAAAAATCATGTAGTCATGGGTTGAACTAACATCCTGAACTTAAATTCTGAAATATCCATAAATCTTACCATTAATCTAAATTGTAAGATTTAAGTTTTGAGCATACTTTTCGTGGGTTTTAGTTTCAAGGAAGTTTGGGGGCTGTTTTGTTTTGTTGATGTTTGTTGCCCGTTTTGTTTTTGACTGATAATGAATAGTGCTGATGCTGTTTTGTTTTATATTTGTTTGTTGGTTGTTTTATTTTGTGATATATTTTGTTGTTTGTTTTGATTTCTACTTTGCTTCTTTGAACATGTTTTACTATTTCCCCCCCCCTCGCGTTGGCAACAACAACAATAACAACAAGCGCTGCGACCAAACAACATTTCCGACACACGCGTCGGGCTGAGGGTAATGCTCAATCTGAAGAGCATTAATCAGCTATCTTGAGCCACTGGAGCCTAGGCAATTGGAAATTGCAATCCCCACCAGCAACAACTTCGCGGATGGGGCTGAATCATGCAAGTACTGGCAAGTACTCTTCGTGCTGAATTTTGATTTCCTCTCACAAACGCCTAAAGCCCCCACGCCCAATCCGACTCACCAAGGCAGCGTGCCTTTCTCAGCTGGAGCAAGATTTATCTTTCTGTCAGGTCCACGCATGTACCCCTTACAGTCTGCGTGCGGCATCATGCTGGAGCAAAAACCGGCTTTTCTGATTGAGGCAAGAATCCCCGGCGATCAAAGGCAGCCGCCAGAACCCTCGCTAAATCAATAGTACTCCCTTAGGGGGGTCCCCAATTCGTCACCCCGAGCATCTTGTGCACACGGCCCAGTTTCCCATCAAAACCAAGGTCTCTCCCGCCAAGGAGCCCAAAGTTGGCGGGATCGGAAGAGGCGTCCTGTGGGGCACTCCCAAAAAGATCCGCTTGTGCTGTTTCAGGAAGCAACCTAATAGAACCCGAGGCTGCACGGGGCAGCCTAAGGCCGCGCAGGGGCCAGACAGAGGGAGCAAGAAAGGCGCGCGAACGTTTGCAGGAGCCACGGAACCACAGAGAATCCGCAAGAAGCAGCGCCAGAGCGTTGCCAGAATTGATCCGGAACGCGAGGCTGCACGGGGGCCGGGAACTGCGAGGGGCCTGACAACAGAGGGGGCGACGGGGTCAAGCGATGCGTGTCACCAAGTAGAACTGCGTGGCACTGAGTTTCAGTGACACGCTGTCACTTGCTTGAAAACGTGTGATAAGCCCCCCTCCAACTACGTTTTTTCTACTGGCCACTAGGCAGTAGTCGGAGGGGTTGGTTGGTTTTCATTGCACAGCGCCTGCTGAACGCGTGGCGCTTCATCAGAAGCATTGCGTGTGTTGTAGCCGAAAACACAATCGCACGCAAATACCATCAAACCCTCTGATGGCAAGATAACCTTATGGCCCTTCAACACTTTCAGGGCTCAGGGTGGGAAACGCACACGGCACGAGCGACGTGGAGTTCTGCTGGTCAAGAACTGAGCAGCAATGAGCAGCACATGTCACGTCTCACGTTTCACGTCCTTCCGCGAGTGCAGATGCTGGTGCAAAACAAACGCTGCGTGCTCAGGCTGCGTGAGCTACGCTTCTGGGGCTTAGGCATTGCGCGTGTCACAGCTCACAGGAAAGAACTGAGCCAATGTTGCGGCAGTTGAGCAGGTGTGTCAGTCATTGGCCTTGCATGCGCGAACTGGCAACAGTTGGTGCTGGTGTGTGTGTGTGTGTGTCTGCGCGTGTGCGCGCGTGACATGTTGGCACAGGTTTAACACAAGCGGCGTCCAGCAAATGTGGCGCTCCTGTAAACTGCCCTGCGTAAGGAAGTTTTGCATGAACATAGACTCTGACTGCATCTATTTTGTGAACATCCGTACCTATCCGTATCCAAACCACGCCTGTCGAAATCTCTTTTGCTCCCCCTGTTGTAAACACACAGTTGCTTATACATGTTTGACTGTAAAATAATATTTATTTTATTTTATTTTTCAAATCCACCGCCAAGCGCAGGTTGAAACATAGTTTCTGGCTTTGCTCTCTCGTGAAGTGTCTGGCCCCGGCCGGCGACCCCAGCCGCGCCTACGCTTGGGCATTGCTGCTCGCGGACCCAGTGTTTTCCGTCTACTCGCGTAGCTTTCTTGCCCTCTTTGTCATGTAACCCCTGCGCGGGTTTTCTTGCTGTCATGGACCTTCCCCAAGCCCTTGGGACTGTGTCTTGGCGCTTCTCCAGTCCCTGAAGCACACCGGTTTCTGGACTGTTTGCTTGGCCTCGCAAAAAGCGATCATCAGGGCAATCCTTACAAAGAAGAGAAGAAACAACAAGTTCATGATGTCTACATACATTTGGAGATTCGTGTAATGTCAGGAAAGCAGCTGGGATCTTACTGCAAGCCGACACCATTTAACCTGCAAAACCAACACGCAGGAACAAACTCCGCGTGTCATGGTCATGGTGCCCCCCATATCCCATTTAGAGGTGGCCAGCACCAGATCACATTTCTGCATCCGTTGCAGTTGGTCGAAAGGTCCTATACCAGCCGATGTAGTGTATATATAATTTGGGTTGAAAAACAGATGTATAATTTGGAAGTGTCATGCATGAACCGTGTGATGGTTTATGTGTTCTCTTAACGGATGGCTAATTTACACCTATTTCACCTAGCCATGCCTAATCTGGACCTACTCGATTGACTGGGTCAAGTTAGGATCAACTAGCCTAACATAGGTTATAAGTTGGTTTTTGTGGAACCCTAAGTTCAACCCAAGTACAACGCGAAGTTAAGTTAGCCGTGAGTTAGGTAGGGTCAACTTACCCTACTTAGCAAAAGTTCAGTCAAACAAGTTAGGTTTGACTTAGGCTCGACTTAGGTTCAATCAGGTTCAACGTAGGTTCGCTGTTTTTTTGCACGCCGAGCCTGCCGGAAACATTTGCTCAAGGCTCGAAATTTAGAGAAGCGCATACGCAACAGGTTTTCAGCATATCTTTGCCTATCATCCGCCTAGCATTTTTGACAGACCCATGTAGCGTGCGCCTACTTCAACTAAACCATGGACCTGTAAACACACATCGTATATCTAATGTGGTTTTCGTTCTCAACTATTTATTGATTACTTGTTCTAGTGGTAGTTCATGTCTTGCAGCTGCCGAAGCGTGCGCAGGAACTGTCCAGCAACTTGTGCTATTCAACACAGTGACTTCCTGTCTCTGCTTTCAAGCAACGATAGCTGTGTTATCCAAGAAAACTATTCTTAAGAATACAATTGGAAGTTATTTTACTTGCAAAAAAATGGTCCCATGCGCTCCGGCCTCCCTATCCCCAAATCAAGGTAGATAACTTTTTGTAGGCTTCATGCGCAAGCCATTGGCAGGGGGAAGTTGTAGCCATTTGGGGGTCAGGAGTATTGATTAACATCTGGGTTTGTCTTCGAAATAGAGTCGAACCACCCTGTTTTAAAACAAAAAACAAGTTTTCCTCCCCTTTACAAGCATAGGAGTCCCTGCATTTCCCTAACATCCTAGCAAAAGGGGACCCTCACTTCAAGTGGCTCCTTTGAGGTGATGAAACAATAGCGGGACACCTTGAACAGCGGGAAAATGGGAACGACACCCCGGTCGTCAGAGCCATCGGGACCCCGTCCGCCACTGCGCTCTCCGCCACCTGCTCGGACCCGGGGATGGAGATGGGGTCAGGCTCCACCACGCCTCCCATGTCCGACGCTTGAAAAAAATCAGGGTTCCAAGAATGTATACAAACGCACGCACTTAAGTATATCTATAAACAGTTTACAAAACGAGAAAAGCTAACGAACTAATACGTCGAGCATAATCAGGTGATATGTAGGTAATGTAGATAACATGGGCGCAAAATGAACGTGCACATACGCACAAGCAACATGTAGATCTGCGCACGGCAGAATTTCGGGAAGCAAGCTGTTTTGCAAGGATCTGTGGCACCCCCAATCTAGAGGTTGGAGGTGAGGCGTCCAGCACATGGCTCGAAGCGAAGTAGCCCGTGCAGGGGAATGCTCATAAGATAAAGAGCCCACCCTTGCTGCGGTGTGGCACACGCATGCTTTGCTGCGCAAACTCACACCGGGAGGTGGGGAGTGACAAGTGGCACGCGCACTGTGCGCAATCTGGGTTGGCGTGCCACACTACGCTATGCGGGGCTACATAAACAGGGCCCGTTGTCCGTGCCCTGATCTGCTCGCAAAGCCTCTCGTTGTTGTTCACGAGGTGCTGGTTTCGGTCGTCCATGCCACAGAGCTGGTTGAGCGGCGCTTTCCCCTCGTTGGTCAAGGCCGGTGGCGGATCTCGTCCGATCCCTGAGCGGCTTGGACCTCTTTTGCATCGACCACCAGCGCTCCATTGTTCTCCATCTTGAAGGTGCCGGGGTCCTGCAGAGAGAGGCGCGGGTTCAGCATGAGGCGCCAGAAGACGGCGCAGTACGCCTGCGTGCTGCTTGTGACTCTGCAGCAAGCGAGGATCTTGCAATCCTTGGCGCGTGGAGGTGCCACCCACAAAAAGCGTGGGGCTTGCTGTTCGAGGGCGTTCCTGCTGTCGCAGCGCTTGTGTTCTTAGCCGGCGTTGATGGCGTCTGCGGACCTTCCATCCTAGTCGCTCCATTTGACGCGACTGCCGTCCGGAGCCGCTGGTGGCATTGTTGTGGGTGGCGTTGGCGATCTCGTCATCCCTGGCACGAAGGGTCTGGGCCAGTGTGACAGCCATCAATCGGCATCGCTTCTCGGACGCCTCCCAGGTGCGATGGTTGTTCGTGGGTTTGATAGGCATCGGTGGTTAGATGAACTCGTTGATGGCGGGGGATGGAGTCCAGTATGTTGTCTCATCATCACGGGTCTTGAACATCGCCAGCGTCTCGTCCGTGACGAAGCCGAAGCCGAGCCGAGTGTCAATGCAGCGCTGAGGTATTCTCCGTGTTGTCCGAGGCGTGCGTCCTTTCCACGGTCCACCCATCATGGGGTGGTGTTCGTGAAATTCGGTGGTGACCATGAAGGCCCTTCCAAGCGGGCTAAAGGCTGATGCGTTCTCAGGGCATGATGCAGCCCAGTGTCCAACTTGGCCGCACACATGCACTCGGTGCTCGGATTGTAAGACTTCCTCCTCAACCTCCCTTGCATCCTTCATTTGAAAAGGGAGGCCACTTACCACAGCCGCGTCCGTGGAAACCGTGACTGCGTCCAAAACCAGCGTGAAGAGATCGGCCACGATTAGTCCTGTCCAGGTAGGATGTTCTCCACGCTCACGGCCGCACCGGCTTGTGAGAGCACCATCTGCTTCTGGTCCAGACTAAGGACGGCGGGACGCTGTGCTTGCGTTCCTGCTCCGTGTGGTCGGCCACGTAGGCAGGGTTTGGTCGGGTCGGCGGGCGATGCCGTAGAAGAACTTTTCTAAGGCACGAGGCATCTCAACCCGTAGTGGGGTCCAGGACCGCGAGCATTTTCTCCATGCCCTTCTCGTCGTCGACAAGCTGAAGTTGTCCTTGGCGAGGTTCATGGTGCCAGCGCCGCTAGCCGAGCCGGAAGCCATCATGGCAAGCCGGCTCCGCAGTTGAGCAGGGTGAGGGTCAAGCTCAACGGTGGGGCCCGCAAAGTCCCCTGCAACTGTGGTACCTGGGTACCAATCTAGAGTACCAATCTAGAGGTCGGAGGTGAAAAGCGCTTTTCACAGCACGCGGGTCGAAGCCATCTGGCGGCAGCCCGTGCAGGGAAGGCTCCTAAGATTTAGGGCCCGCCCTCGCTGCGGTGCGGAACGTGCATGTTTACCCATGCGAAACTCGCAGATGCCTTTTAACAGATGCTTGAGCCATTGGTTTGTGCCTTCGCGGTGGTTCATAAAGGGTTCAACTGCAGCGTTGAAAATGAAGCTGGACAGGATTGGCGCGGACCTTGGCTTGTCAGCCACTGTCTTTGTGTGTCTGTGCCCGTGGTGCCCAGACCACATGCCTACAGTTGGCCTAAAGTCGCTCACAACATCTCACAACCCTATCAACTACGCAAGCTTGCAGCTCGATTTTCTCCACCAGTACCAACTCTCCAGGCAGCAGTTATGCGCCGACAAGGCGGCTGGCATGTAAAGCAAAAACGCCAACCCGCAGTGAGACCGGAACTCTTTTGACTCTTCTCCATTGGACAATCCAGGTACTTGTTAAAGCTTGACTTTGCTTGTTTTAAAATATATATACAGATATACATATATCTTAAGACCCCTTCCTGGCTAACGTGTTTGTTCCATTCAGCCCTGTTTATACAGACAATGACAGCTATTTTGCGACATCACTTACATCGTTTGCCTCATTTCTGCAAATGGAGATGTGGGGCATGGGTCCGTCCGGATATGCCATATAAGGCTTCAGTAAGCATCCATTCCAGCAATCTTCCCAAGCCAACCGCCGGACCAACCATGAGGAGTGGCCCAAATTGGGTTTGCGGGGCCGGCACCAACCGACAACACTGTGTGGGGTTTGTCTCTAGAAACCATTTAGGGTGGGTCCTGGCGCACATGTCTTATTAAACACCTGCTGCTCAAACAACCTTCTTTGCATCCCCCCTTCAAAGCTAAGGGCCTGGTTGCTAACACAAGTCTTGCCGAGCCCCCAATGCATCCTACTAGTAGCACGCCTTCTTGTGACAGGCGAAGCTCTTTGTACGTGTGCGGAATTTGCCCAGCAGGGCAGGTCCAGCGGCATTGGTGCATGCCAGACTCCGTGACTTCATACTGCCTCAGAATTCGATCAAAAAGGGGTACTAAAAATCAATAGAACCAACCAAACTAAACAAACACAACTAAAACCATGCAAAGAACAGTGAGTCAATGGTCTTTGGGGGCTGGGCAAAGGGGCCTTGGCTTAACCTTGTCAGCTGCGAGCGCACGCCTTGGCCCAACTTATAGGTCACACACCCATCAATGACTTGTCCAGCGCATGTCCAGTGCCAGAAAGCTCGTGGCTGATTGGCCAAGGCACAAAGCGCCGTCGCAAAAGATCTTGCTACACGCGCCCAGGCCGATGCCGCCTGCAAACGGCAGCCAGCAAGCGAGCGCTCTTTGTAAAGAATTCTCCAAGACTCCACGCTAGCAGCAAAATGCAGCGCGAGGAAAAAACAGGCCCAGTAGCATAACAGCCCCCAAAGAAACTGGACACAACACGTCGATGCGACGTCTCATGACCTCACGCGCTATTGTTGGAAACAGGTCCCCACCCTGCGACCCGAGACCCACGCTCGGATTTGTCCAACAGGGTCTCAAGAACCCGAGGGCTGACTATTTCAATCTATTTCACTCACGAAAAGTAAAAAGTCCAGGAACTTGGGAGTGAGCAATGTCATTGCAACAAAAGTGCCGCAATATGGCGCGCCTAATCCCCCGGATTGAAGTTGTGCGCCATGCTTCATCAAAAACGCGGCGGCCAACGTCTTGGCGAGACCCATCACAGCCTTCGAGCGGATCCGCGTCGCGGAGTTTCCTTTGGCCAAGTTCAAACCCCATGGGATTTGCCACCTTTTTTCTTGCTAGGGATCCTTATCTTTCCAGCGAACCAGTGACAGGCCGTCAAGGCCGTCAAAGGATCTTCTTCACTCGAGCTCATTTTACACCTGGCGGTGAGCTTGCTAAATACACGCCCACATGCCAGGTTCAGTAAAGCGCCTTTCGCAAAGCTGTTGCTGAAAATGTTCAAAAGGGGAATTTTTCCCTCCCCAAAGCAACTTTTGAGTAACTCGCAAATGTTCACTTGACCCGGATTAACGTGGAACCCCAAACCCAAGAACTGTGTGACACCTTTCGGATTCCATGTTCATGCGCGGAGACATGTTGAAGCATTCTCCACGGATGAGATGGGAAGCATTATCATCCAGTCTGGACGCGCTTGAGATAGTATCACTATCAAATGGATACTTTCCCTCGCATCACTATTTCAATTGGAAGTACCCATCCACAACTGACTTCCTGAGTGTTTTGATTACCGTACTGTTTTGATTACCCCAAGAATTGTGGGACTCTTTAAGAGGGCGTGTTTAAGGTCCAAACCCTTATGGAGATCCAAAACACCCTCCAGTGAAGATCCAGCGAGGCTTCAGGTCAGAAACAAAAACCGAAGCTCGTGACCTTTAGTTCGGGATGGTTGCAATGTCTTTTCAGCACCTGTCCAACCCATTTCAGGAAACCAATGTGCGCATTCCCCCTCTCACGCCAAGCACTGCCCGCCATTTTAGGATCACTTTAGGCGTCGAGAGTGGCCACTGCAGTTTGCTTCGTGGCTTTTGCCGAAAATGCATCCTGCCTGAACTTTGTAGTGTTTAGGAGAGAAGAACAGCGTGTTCCTCAAACAGTTACCCTCTCTCCACCAATCATGGAAATGGACAGTCTTTCCCAAAAAAGGACGTAGTCTTACAACAACCTCTTATCTAGGACTTTTGGAGGAATGCTAAGGCAAAAGGTTGAAACCGGCTCTAAGAGACCTCCCACTCCGGGCCTTTCCATCTGTGCGCGCTTGCTTGATGTGCTCCTCCAGCCTAGTTGCGTTCACGTGGTCCTTGCCGGGAGCACAACCTACTCAAAGGCCTTACCTCAAAGAAGTGTCAAGAGACATCTCTGGCCTCCGGGCACGTGCCCCTTGGTCTGAACTACTTCTGTTGCATTGCCGCAAAAAATGCAAGAAATACTGTCTGGCTATGTGCTTCGTCATAAAGACGACGTTTAGAACAAAACGGATCAGTTTTGGATTTGCATTACGCCAACTGCGAAAGTTAGCAAACACCCCAAGTGCTCGTGCATTTCTAGTAGTTGTATGCAAACAACACCATGTGTTTAGCAAGGTTTCTAGTTTAAGTGAAGACAATGAAGAACAAATTCGAGAAAGATCATTAGGCCCCAAACCCGAAAAAACGAAAAGCAAACAAAACAAAACTCTGAGAAAAATGGTTTTGCCAAGAGTGTTGTTTTTGCGCTTTCTCGAGTTTGTTTGGCTTGCGGAGCAAAACGCGACGGGAAAAGAGCGGAAAAAGGAGCGAAGCTGCGAATCGGGCACGCGATTCCATGAGCGACGAGAAGTCGTCCAGGCTGAAGTCCTTCCATGCCATGGTCGGCCCGAAGATGCCCGACTTGATAGCGCCGGTGGCACCTACCGTCAACTGCGTGGTATGTCTTGCCGCACCCCGTTGCGCTTCGGAAGTCCCCATCTGCTTCTGTCAATCGCGTACAGGGGCGACGGAGCTGTGCCGGTGTCCTCTGCCGAGGATTGCTCGCCATGAGTTCCCTGCTGTGTCGCGTCCAGGCGGGCCTTCTCAGGCGCAGCCGGGCTTCCTCAGCCTCAAGAAGTTGAAGGAAGTCGGTCAGGACCATAGGCACCTGTGCAACTGGGGGCCTCTGGCACAAGGTGTGTCAGGGCTAGGCAGAGGTCTTCCTCCAGTCCTCCGCTTAGCAGAAGGAGCGGTCGTCCTGGCTTCACGTTGCGAAGACGGTCTGGCGCTCCATCGAACCCAGATCCTTCGCCTTAGGCTCCTTGCCTGCACACATAGGGTAGTACATGGCAAGAATGAGGGGAGAGAAGGAAAGTTCTATTCAAACAAGAACAGACATGTTTGCCAAGGGCAGCACTTACAAGGAGCTAAGACAAGCGCACACCTGCGGCTACACAGTAGCCTATTTGGCAACTGTCAAAGGCAATAATTGCACCTTTGCAGATTTGCACACGTCTCAGTAAAGCGCAATCTTAGTCCTTTCGAGCTCATCGACTCGGGCCGCCCAAGCGATGAACAATCGTGACTGCCCCTCGCACCACGCTTCCTAGCCAGTGATTGAACCAGCCAATTGAACATTGTCGCCCCGCCCGCAGCCTCAGACCAGCCGGCTCCGAATTTCTATCTCAGACCACTCATTTTAAAGTTTAGGTGTTGGACCAACAATTTTTGGCCCAGACCACCAATTTTAAGCTACAAGGGCGGATATTTTACCAAGATAGGAACGGTAGACCCGCCCGGATGCGTCGAACAGATGGCGATTGCCGCAATTGCCCAAACTCCCTGGATGCACTGGTCTTGATCAGACGAGCTGGATGCCTGACTCTCCTGCGCATCAAATTTTGATCCTAATCAGTCTTTTGATGTTGAAAACGATTTTGATTTGAAATCAATATAAAATAATTGATTCTGTCGTTTTCGCGACCAATCTGAGAGCATGTGTTTTCAAGTCTGAAATTCAATGCAAAAATCAACCCAAAAAAGCTATACTTCTCATATGCAAAATCAGTCTGAAAATCAATATGAAAATCAATATCCAAATCAATATCCGAATCAATATCAGAATATGAAGAAACTCATTTGATATCTATGTCTCTTTTTCTAATCTTTCTCCAGGTCATTTTGCAGAACTGCAGGCTTCTTTCTCAAGGGGATTCACTCTCCTTTCTCAAGGGGGTGTACTCAAACTGCCTCTGCAGGCTCCTTTCTCAAGGGGATTCACTCTCCTTTCTCAAGGATGTTTACTCAAACTGCCTTTGGCACAGCTCGAACCCTTCCCTTGTCAGCAGGAGATCTAGCAGAAGCTTGTACTTAGGGCAAACTTTCTGAGATATTCTGGTCGACCTCACTCCCATGCTCACTGAGTGCGCAAGCAGAGCCATTTTCCCCACGAAATCTTCGCAAGAAAAGCACCAGTGCGCCCTGGGGTTCAAGTACTTGCTGTTCTCAACCAAGTGTTGGAAGGTGTGAAATTTAAAAACAACATGGAATATTGTTCTATTTGATTCTGCTGCCCATTCATGCAGCTGCGCGTATGTGTCCAAGAACCCTTTTGCAAGGGCGCATGCTTGCTTCCAGGCATTCGAAGACAAAAACATTCCTGAGTCATCAAACAGTGCGATGAGGTCACACATGCTTTGCAAGGCCCTTAGCATGGCAGCTTCATGCTCCAGGCTGGGCTGTAGAAGGGCTTTGCACACTGGGAGGAAAGCAGGGGCTAGCCACTTAGACTCAGCTCCCTTGGCCTTCAGCGATGGGTAAGAGCTGTGAGGCGCTGCTGTGTCACAAATCATGGACAGCCTGAGGTTGGTCAGTCTTGTGGGGGACTGCTGCCTTTTAAATTCCTTTTGCAAGGCTTCAAAGATAAGGCCAAGCCTTTGCTTAGGCTCTATCTTCTGCCACACCAGCCCCGACACCATCGTGCCAGCATAGATAATGAATAATGCTGCCAAGCAAGTGGGAATAAACCCCATGGTCAAACAAATTGTGCAGGCCGTCCCCGGGGTGGCTTGACCTGGGGTGTTCTCTTGCCTCACTGTTTGGAGCCACGGTAAATTCTTGCTTCCCTTTCTCAAGGGTTGCAAAGCACATCCCTGGCTTACCCTTTGCCTCGGCCCGCGCCTTTCCCAAGGCGTTGCACTCCCAGCAGGGGTTGTGCGATTGCCAGTGGGGCAATTTCAAGGTGTTTGAAAAGAACTCGTGGTCCCCCATCACGCACCAAATTACCGCCCTTAGCCCTCCGGCAAGAGGAGTGCCTTTTGGAGCGTAGAAGGGCGAGTCCTTTTTCAAGGGCGCACCGTCTGGATCATGAGTGGGGTGCAGGCCTGTGCCCAAGGCGCAGAAGCTCCAGCACAGCCACTTCATGATGCTATCCCATGTTTTTTATGTAGTGCAAATTTGGGGAAGCCATGAGAATTTCCTTTTGGAAGGGTCCACACAGGTTGATCAAGCCGCCCCAGGACCAGACCATGAGACTATCTCTAGTCTGATATTCAACCCCGTCGCCATGCACGAACAGGGTATGGTCTTTTTCCTCCACCCTTGGACCTTCATTGGGTGGTGGTCCAGCCGGTCGTCACTTTTCAGCATCCCTCCAAAAGGTCTCTAGGCTTTCAACGCCAAACAAAGCTGAAAAGCTGCTGTAGGAAGTAAGGCTGGCAAACACCATGTGCGGGAGAAAGCAGGCAGCCATCTCCTCTTCCTTTTTCAAGGTTTTGGGGTCCAGGCACTATGAGGTGAGCGTCAGGCAGCCCAGTGCTGTTGCAAAACCTACTCACGATTGTGCACGCCATGACACCCTGCGCTGGCCATTGATGCCAGCTCAGGATGGTCGGCGCCGTCAAACATTGCGCACTCGGCAAGCCATCGAATGGTTGCGGCGCTAAGTTTGCCGTGAGACCACAGGCCAAGTAGGGCAGTTGCCAAGGAGCTATCCTTACCTTTTTCAAGGTCTGCCTCCTCTCCTTTTTCCTTTTCTAGTGCTAACTGCCAGCCCCTGAGCCTTTTGGCCATTGGGCAGCCCCCTTTTGCAAGGGGACTGCAAGCTCGCTAGGATCGCTAAAGCCAAAACCGCTGCAGGAAATGGAGGGTCCTTGGGTCTGAAAAGGGTGTCCCTTCTGTATAGTGCTTTTGAGGGCATGCTATCAGTTTGACGGAACATATCCAAGTGTGCTGTTGAAAACGGCAGACCAGAAGTGGACTTGGCGTGGGCTTTTCTTTTTTTGTGGGGCTGACCACTAGTACTACCCCCTTGCGTCTTAAAAAAAAGGTTTTCCTTGGGAAGCAACCACTCAAACCCCCGCCATAAGACGCTTTTTCCATCATTATCTGAGCTCGTTCTTCCCTGGGTCAGCCCTCTTGAGTTACCCAGTTGCCGTATAGCCTTGACAAATGCAATATGGCTTATGGCCTTTTTCAAGGTGTGCCTTGCTGGATGCGTTTTTGCCGTTTCCCGGTTGACTATGCGGCTAGGCACCCCTTTTTCGTAGTAGCTTTTGACAAAGCTTTTTGGGAAATCTGCACCAACTCTTTGGCCTCCTCCTTGGCATCCTTCACTGCAGCTGCGCACAATATGATTTCCTTTTTCAAGGGCTCCAATTTGCATTTGTCCTCTTTAGCAAGGGATTTTTTCATCTGGGCCAGCGCATCCTCCATTGTCTTCTTGCAGTCAACTGTCTCCTTCAGGCTTTGCTTGCTTAGGTAAGGGCTTTTCTTAACCTTTTCCAAGGCTTCTTCATAGTTACTCAGGGTGGTAATGAGAAGCGTCTTTGCTCTCTTTGCTTTGTCGAAAGCATCTTTGAGAGGGTCTTCCGGGTCATCATCGTGCAGGACGGGCAGTTCAGGCTTACCCCTTTTTTCACCCTTTTTACCACCTTTCCCTTTGCCAAGGTGGCTGCTGCTGCTGCCTTTGCCAGTCATGACGGAGTGCAGGTCGCTGCCTAGGAGTTGCTCCCACTCTTCATCATCGTCCTTTTCCAAGGTGAACTCTTGACCCTGCTGCCAAGCTTTTTTGGATTTTCCAGCGCTTGTCCTCTTGAAGTCTGCATTGTCCATGTATTCATACACACCCCATGTTTGGGGGCATTCTCTCCAGGACACCCTCCCCGAAGACAGGTGCTTGTCCAGTGTTGCCCCCATTTATCAAGGGCCTGCTTTTCGGACAGCCACTTCTCCTTTTTCTGCAAGGAGTCTGTTTGCTCCACAGATCTGGTGATATTGCCAAACTTAGAGGCATCAGTTCTCATGAGAAAAAGGGTGGCCCTGCCCTTTTCTTTCCTCCCCAGATTGTCAAACT